AGCCTGAGAGAGCTGGGTGAGAGCAAAGCTGCCCTCAGTTGGAGCTGAGCACCCTGAAGTGAAAAATCTCCAGGCCTTGTGTTTCTAATATCTGAACTTCTTGCTTTCAAAGGACTTGTATACAGTTAATTTAAAGAACATAAGTAATTCCCTTCCCTTCTTTCCAACCAGGAGACACTGGGAGGAGAGGTACACGTGAACATAAATGCCCATGCAGGAATCTACCAGGACTTGTACATCAATAATCAGTCATTAAAAACCACCAGGATGACAACTAAAAATAAACTAAGTGAGCCTAAATGCAGATATAATAATGTACGGAGGTTGTGCTGGATGAAATGTTCATGTGGTACCACACTGAGCAGTGGGTGATTAAGGTGAGGGAACTGGGTGATTATGCAAAGAGAACTACACTACTTATGAGCCATCTAGAGGTTAGGGATTTAAGAGTTTTCTATCCACCATGTTTGGGGATCTTGATGGATTTGTCTTCCATGACCTCTCCAATGCTTTTTGAACCCGTGATATGCACAGTGATCTGTTAAAATGAGCTCCACAATTTATTTATGACACATGCAGAAGAAAACTTCATTTACATTAAGCTGCTGCATGATGGCCACCCTGGGTGTTCTGTAGTTCCTACATGACAAAATCCAGCAAATTCCAGACTCCTAATTACCTTTGAATCATTCAAAATTTTTATAGGTCTCATCCTTCTTTCTTAGTCATCTCTCTCCCAAGGTAAACAAGTTGCACTTGCACAGCTGCCATTCTCTGTCTCTCATCTTTTTGTTCCCATTCTTTGTATCTTTCCTATATCTGTTAGATATTTGAGGTGAGGAATTCAGGCATGTACACACATAGTACAGATGAGCTCCAGGATTTTACAGTGAGATCATAAAATGCTGTCTACTTATCTCCTCTTGTTTTCTAACACTGTGGTTACCATTAAATTCAAAAGAATATAGAATGGACTCAACAATTTTGACCTCAAAATTGCAACCACTGAGAAAACAAAGCTATTTCCTTAACATGAAAGCTTGAACATAATACATATCTGCTCTGATGAAAAGGGAAAATCCAGAAAATGATACTGGCATGATCTGATCATAGAAGCTGTGAAGTTAGTTACTTTACAAGTTTGATGGGAAACTTACTCAGTTTGGATCATCAAGGACTTCAGAAAATCACAACACAAAAGCCTGCAGACAGATTTAATATAAATGTGCTTTATTGCAGAGAAGTTACATTATTTACATGCTGCAACACATTACAACATAAATCTATCAAGTATTTCATGGTGGATGCTGTTGGTTGCCAGATAACATTGTCATAAGAACCACATTATAAAGTGAAGAGACTTACAGCTTTATATACTCTACAACTTGGAGTAGCTAAAATTTTAAAAGTCAAAGGCAGTGTTTGCTCAGGCCTGCCTGTTGTCATATGCATGCAAAAGCCTAAGGAGAGCAAATATAAATGTCTTGTCTGGTTTCAGGTCTATGATGCCACCAAAGCTGATGATAGGTGTGTACTGATTTATATTTTAAAGCACATAATCTTGCATAAATTATACAAGTCTAATAAGATTGGTATAAATCTAATTATTTATAAACCATGGCTTAGAAATAAAGGAGATATGCAGCTTGCACATGCATTTAGAAGGACAACCTAGCAAATGTTTGTGACCTCCATGTTTATTGTCTTTCCTCTTAACAGATCTGCTAGAAAACATCTTTATAACATCTTTACTCTAGAGTTTCACTTCTCTTGGCTGAACAATGACAATGAAATTCCAGAAAAAGACATCTAAGCAATCTAGTCAATATATGCTGGTGGAGAAAAATCTATGAAATACAAAACATTATTTATGTCTAACTTAGTATGTCTTCATTAAGCAATGCTTCTAGCAGCATCATAGTGAAATAGGATACTTGAGTGAAGTTTGGCCCCTCATTTTCTTAAATGTGAAATAATTTAAGTCCCAATTGAATCTGTAGCCCAAAGATTACTTGCTTAAAAAACTGGGGAAAGCTTTTTTGTTTTCTAAAGTTTTCCAATTGTGTCAGTCTTAGGGTATGTGACTACAATGAGCCTAAAGAACCACAACAGACAGTTTTTAAGAAGTGAGGGAAAGGGTCAGGATGAAAGAAATCTAAACCAAAGGAGAATCTACAAGCCAATGCCTTCCCTGGTTAACCAGCCATCGCTTTTTGCCTGCTGTGCAGCTGGGCTGTTTTACACCAGCCAAGGAGTGGGCTTTGTTTCTGTGTTTCTAAAAACTGAGCAAGTACAGATACAGAGCGGTGGCACAGACACAGTCATGCACAAAGGGCTTGATCCTGCCAGGAATGCAAGGGGCAGTGGTACTGTGTGGACACTTTGCCGATGTGGATCCCCTCATCCTTGGTGCACAACGCACCCCTACAGGGCTCCTGCAGAGCAGGGCATGGGCAGTGTGGCCTTGCTCAGCTCCGAGGTAAAGGATGGAGGGCCAGATGAGCAAGGGCACGAGGGCTGGTGCCTGCTCCTTGCAACCACCTGTCTCCAAGAGGCAGTGAGTACATACAAATATCTCCTTCCATGATCCCTCCGTGGATGTCCACTTCTAACCTCACGGTCAGGCTTCCGTAAGTGAGCCAGGGCAGCCTGCCACAAACTGTCCCCCAATCCCAATCCCAAAAACCACTGCTGACACTACAGAACTCCCCTTCAAGGACAGGAGAGCTATGAGATGGTCACCATTTCAGCAGCTTTAAAACTGTGTATTTCTCTGCACACAGGGTCAGTGTGCTCCTGGAGGCCTCGCAGAAAGCTCTTTTCCTAGGATAGACTTCTTCCCATGGAAATACAGGGTTATTTTTTTCTCAGAAAAGCTGATCAAGACCCACTGAAGCTGACAAGACAAGTTACAGACAAATCCCGTTGAGTGTCTGGGACTGGGAAGGGAGAATCTGAGCACACCAGGTCTAATCCCAGCTCTGAGGACGGAGCTGGATTTGGGCTGCACACAGGATGCCGGTGGCACTGCGCAAAGAGGGTGCACTGATGTCCAAAGCACCCAGACTCATATGCCTGACTCCCTTTCCTGTGTGGAACAGGGATTCTGGGTTGAAGGGTCCCAGTCAGATCTTCTATACCATAATTATGCCCTACAAAAGAGGCGTGGGAGTGTCAGAAAAGCCCAGGGTAGTAAAGACCTAAGTCAGCACATCCCTATGGTGGAACTGAGCACTATCCTGGATGACCAGGCTGGCTGGGGCAGTTCAGTCACTTAATCTGGAGCTAATGAGCAGAATTTATAAGTGAGGTAAGATTTTTAGACAGCACCAAGACCTGAGTCAAGTTGTCCCCAGCTGGCTCAGGTGTTGGCACATTCCAGGTTTGGGCTTAGCAGCGGCAGTAGGAAAATCAGATCCATCTTGATCTGTCAATCTAGACATGCCCATAGACTCCTCTCCTTTTTAAAGGACAGAAAAAGTCCTACTCATGCCCAGGTTGTCTAAGTCCCTCTGCTCATTGCATTTTATCTTAAGCCACTTTTTCTATGATGCCACAAAAATCAGTTTATACTACATACGTATATGTGCATGTGTGTATTAGATATGACATTTATATATATATATTAAACATATATAAATATCTATTTTATATATATTATATATATATTAAACAACACATTCTATTCAATCATCCATATTTCATGTTCTTCCACCGGATCCCATCACTTCTCTCAAATTGCACAAGTTCTTTAGGACTGAGCTGTCTTTGTTTTGGAGTACACTCCATATATAGCCAATTCCTGAGAACAGCACTTTACTGGTACTGCATTGAGACGGCTGGGGCTGTTTCATTACTACTGATACTCCTCAGAAGTGTTCAGCATGTCCTCAGGCCCAGATGCTGAACTGTCACTAAGACTCCTAGTCGTGAATGGGCCACCTGTGAATTAAGCTCATACGCACGATGAGGACTGCAGCTACTGTTGAAATGTAGCACTGTATCAAACACTAACTTTTACTGTAAATGTACATATAAATTTTAAAAAGTCAAAACATTTTGGGGGGTTGGAGAGAGATGCCATCATTTCTGTTCCCAGTATCGCTTACATTTGTGTATATGGGGGAAGAGTAATATTTTGGAGTTCTCACTCCAAGAGCCAATTTTTTGAGGTTTGCCATCAGGAATAAACAGTACAGTGCTGTTTCATAAATAAAGCTTCTCCCATAGCTGCTTGGTTTTAGTAAAACAGGTGATCATTTCTGGGGTATATTCATTGTCATTCTTGCTTATTTAACAGGATAGGTTCTGTATGAAATAATGAACAAGATCATCACTCTCACTGTTTAATGTAAGATTCCTCGTCTCTTAGATGGTATTTTCCAATTAGTAACAAAAAACCCAGGTAAGTTGTCCTAGGACTTACCAGTATAGGCAGCTAAGACAAATGAATTTCCACAATTAACAAAGTCTATGAGCATTAAAAGGGAAGTGCATAACCTACTGCATATAAAACCCCTGAATAATACAGTATCAAATTATAAATAACAGAGAGTAAACAACAACAAAAAAATCAATATATAAATCACATGAAAGAAAAAAAAATAATCTCCAAAGCCCAAAATAATTTCCCAATACGAATTACAGCTTCTATAGCCAGTGAAAGATTACTGCATTTCTATATATAAACAAAAAGGTCTACAGCAGGTATTTTAACTTGCAATTAGAAGATAGTATCTGCAGATTGCATAAATATGTTGTTGTGTCACATAATATCAAAGTTCTTTGCAAAAATTATACAATCTGGAATGCTTTAATATGAGACACAACAATGTACTTAAACACATGGTAATAAGAAAATGAAAACAATCATTTTATAAAGTATTTTTGGGATGCATTGAGTTAGCAGTGCTATTTAGATTAAATATGTAAAGTGAAAAGTCGTCACTTTAATAAGCTGCTCGTTGATACCCCTTTTTGTGACCAGGACATTTTCTGTGTCCCACTTCTGCTGGATCTTTAAAGTCCCAAGGGTGAGTTACAGCCAGTTACGGCATCCAGAAATAATTTGGTTAAGATCTACACTGTGCGTTTGCTATCATCTTATTATTTTTTCTTTTAAAAGAGAATTGATTTCACAAAGGCAGATTTCTTTCATTGACACAGTAAAATCCTTGGAGCAGGGACCACATTCTGGGCACTGCTAATCACATTATTGGCACTCAACATATAAATAATAACAACAATAACGATAATTTACTTTGCTTAAACTCCTACTTATTTGAAGTGCTGATTCCCTTAATTTAAGTGATGCTCCTTAGGAATTTTCAGATCCTTTTGGCCTAAGTCCCCTCTGTCTTTCCTGTTGTCTGTCTTCTCAATGTTGCTACTCTCCTCAGTCCGAAAGCCTCTTATTTTCGAGGTGCTGCTGTTTTATTTGCACTTATAGCAGAGGTGTTCAATAAAGCTACACTTCTTTCTGCATTTGGTAAATCTGCTGTATCATACTCCCAAGGGCAGACTTCAGCTCGAGATGCTAAAGGTTGCTGTAGGTAACTACTTGGCTTATGGGAGTTAGATGAAAGCACATTTCCCTCAGAAGAGACAATTTTTTTCTGTTCAGCCAATTTATTGAGGTTTTCCTTTTCTGCTGTTTTCTGGGGCAGCTCCTCCTGCTCCCCAGCACGGGTATTAGGTGTATATCTATTAACATTCTCACACTTCAGCCCAGGAGAGACCTGGGTCTTGGAATTTGACTGATTTTTCTCATTTTCAAAGATCTGCTGCTCTTGTGTCTCCTGAGTGGATGCTTCCACCTTCTCTGAGCTCTTTTGATTTGACTGTTGGTGCCCCTCAGGTGTCTTCAGCTTATGATGAGTCTTCCCCTTTGGCTGGGAAGGGTGGTTTTTCTCTGGCTCTGAGGAAGCAATAGATACATGTTTTTGAGCTTTAGAGTCAAAAGGCACAGGACCAGGAATTTGGTCATATATTTCCCAAGGACAAACTTCTCCTATGTTGAAATTTTCCTTGTGAAGAGACTTACCTGGGCCTGTGTCTGAATTTGCAGGTGTTTGACTAACCCTTTGCTGTTTAATAATTCCAGATTTATGGGTTTTCTTTGTTTCCTCAGATTGGGTAGAGTTTTTCCGGTGGGAATCCTTATGTTCCCCTTTATCGGAGGCTGAGTGCTTTTTGCTAGCCTCCTTACCCTTCTGCTGAGATTTATGAGATTTAGTGCTTTCTTCTAAACTTTGTGTTTTACCTGTTAGTCCCAGAGTCTTTTCCTTGGCACTAGCAATAACACTGAGGGATTTTTGTAACACAGATGTTCTTGGATGCAGAGGCTTCTTATCGGCACTTAAATTATGCGCACTTACAGATTTGCACACCAAAGGGACTGATTCAGTGGAGACAGCTTCAACTTTTTCAGGAGCGTTTTTGGTTAATTTGTTACCATTCAAGGAGTCCAGAAGTGTTTTCTCAGCAGCTATAACTTCTGCACTTTCTGTAGTTAAGCCATTTGGTTCTTCTGTTTGATCCCTAACATGATCGTAAGTGCTGTGGGACTTTTTTAAGGAAAAGACTCTGTTTTTCAAAGTCTCTTCTTTTGGCTTTGCAGAAGTTGTGGAATCCGGTGGGTTTTTCTTCAGTGTGGCCAAGTTCTTCACAGCACTGTGCTCCATCAGGTCCTTCTCATCCCTGGAGCACTGCCTGGTGACCGTCTCGGGGATTTCTGTAATGCGCCGCATTATCGAGCGCCCCAAGCCCTTTTTAGAGCACCTTTTTTTCTGGAGATGTGGGTTGTTAGCAATCATCTTTTTCCTTTTATAGATTTCAAGCTGAGCATACAGTTTCTTCAACTCATCCTGCAAAGCAAGTGAATGGCAAAACTAGTATTTAGGCAGTGAATACAGTCAAACAAGCAGCCTGATGAATGCAAGACCTATTGCTCTAAAAAAGGCATTAAACTCATTTCACTGTCTTTTCTAATTCTTGAATATGTCATTTCTCCATCAACTTGAATCACATTTTTTTCCACTTTAAAAAAAAAAGTTTAACCCTCAGGCACAAACATGTTACATTCCACAGCATGCACACTTCATTTATACTATTTCAGATTTCACAACGCTGTACTGTATGCTTTCCTGCTGAACTCTATAGCTGTTTATTGTTCTCAGAACATAAGGCCTTTAATCATGTAAAATAAGAGTAAAGTAGTTTTCTCCACTAATCAAGTTTTTAAAATTTTATCTTTCTAGTTATGTATGCTTATGCATATGTTACATACAAATGACTAATTAAAATGAAACCAAAAGCTGTTTGCACTTCAAGATAATTCAAAGAATCTGTAAACAGAGTAACAGCTCTTGCTGAGGGTGATTCCTCCTCCTTGGCCACCACTATGACTTTTACTACAACTAGTAATGCAGCATCTCTTCACACTCGTAAATACTTCCCACGACAGTTTACATGACCTGATACCACAATCATAAAGGATCTAAGCTGGAATTTTCCAGCTGGCATCTGCAGAGAGAAACAAATGCATGCAAGTTGGAGTTTTCTTGTAGGAAAGAGTGTTCTTGAAAACGAATGCTATTTAAATGAGTTATATGTACCCGAATATCTTCAGGATCCAAACTGTGTTCACTCCATGCTGAGTTGATACTGCTGTTCAGATAGGATCCCGACCGACCCATATCAAGCTCATCTTCATAAGCTTCTGTAGCTATATCATCTCTTGGGTTATTGCTTGAATGTGAAAACTGCAATAAGTATTCACAAAGAATATGTTGCCATGAGTGCAGAAGTTTACTTCAACATCAGTGCAAGAGCTTACAACAGTTTTTTATGGTACAATGTCCCTTCTATAGATTTGGTGTGATTGTCAAACTCAAAACATTACTGTAAACTTCACTGGCTTAAGTAGTGTCCTATGGAGTCTCAGTATTGTATGGAAGAAACTCTTATTAATGATGACTGAACTTGTTAAATCTTAGAGATTTGCATAAGGAAAAAAAAATCCTACATATTTTGATACTTGCTTGAACCTCTTTAAATGGCATTTCAATTAAGCTGGCATGAAAATAGACTTTCAGACATTATTTCCAATTAGGCTGCTAAAACAGTAAGACACTATTTTATACCACATACATCTTAACAATCCTGCAAAAAGCAGTTCTCCTAATTTAGATCCTAATTCTGAAAAGGGAGACATAAGGTGGAAAAAAATAAAGAAAGAAACTAATGAAAAAGTAGACTACTTTTTTCTTCTACGTTTTACCAAATCCTTGAAACAGGCGTTGGAGTGAGGTTGTCATTATTGCTTTGTTCATATTGAATCACTCATGTGAAGTTACTATTGTCCACATAGTCATCTGTGCTCAGGACTTCATGAATAGAACTAAACCTTGTGAATCTTAAATTCTCTGAATTCTTTAGTGTGTTGGAAGAAAAGTCTATGCAATGTAACACCGATAATAAGCTAAAAATGAAAATGTTGATCAGTAGTTATGAGTCAGCTTCAGAAAGGTCAATAAATTTTCTAGGCTAGTTTAGAAAGACACCTCTGAAGATATGTAATAAAGTACATGAATATAAAATAGAAAAGATAAGAGTATTGCTGAAGACCAGAAAAGTAATTTAAAATAAAACAAGGTATGCAGTGTTAAGGCTTCACAAATGAGTTCCTTGTCACGACTGTTCAATGTACATATATTTGACAGTCATCAGCAAACTCTGTTCTGACACACAGGAAAGAGGCAGGAATAGCAGCTTCATTAACCTGAAAATTCTATCAACCTGAACTGCTTAATGCTCTTTATTCATATGTAGCTTTCACCTTTACTGCTATTTGGACTCTTGAGCTTTTGATTAATATGATTAGTCATTTCAAAACCCATTAGAAAGTCATTCCTTTTACTGAGATACTGTCCTAAGAAGGAACTTCCACTCCATTCCTGGGGACTGTGGTTAGGGACAGGAAGAGCCACCTGCAGATCTCCTGCCCCCAGTGAGACAATGCTGGGGCTTTGCTCCAGTGGTGCCCCCAGGGACGTGTCCCAGCTGCAGCTTGGGGGTTTCTCTGCTCTTCCCTGACTCCTTCCATCACCATCGACTTGTGCCCCCACACACCTGTCTTGGCACCCAGCACTGCTCCTGGCTCCCTGCCATGGCCATGTCTCCTCCCAGTGGGCAGCATCTGTCTGTCCCAGGCTCTGCCTTGCAAAGGGTTCTCCTTTTTCAGCCTGTACTGCCTGGTTTAAATCCCTACCTCCCTATCTCACAGCTAGTCCAGCCTCCTGATTCCAGTATTTCTATGTCCTCGCCTAAATTCTTTGTCTGATCTCAGCTAACTCTGGCAGCAGCATGGTCACACAAATACCTAAAAGAAAGCACAATTAGGCAGGATTCTTTCCTTCTAGTATTAATCACATCAACATTTTAAGTACTTTAAACTCCTGGAATTTTGAAAGCTGAAAGAAAAAAAATATGAAAATGTATACTTTTTAAAAATAAAAACAATACAGCTTTCAAGGCAGAATAGACAAATTCTACATCCTCCTTTTCTATCAGTTGCTGTAGATTTACACAGAATTGCTTCTGTGTAAATGGCAACATTTATCTTCCTCAGTCATGGCAAGAGAGAAGAGACTGCAGACTCAAATACCTTAGGGATCAGAAGTAGCCCAACGGTGACTGTCACAGTCAAATGTGTGTGTGCAAAGAACAGCATCAGCATCCAGTCAGACTGAAGTCTTGAAGCAAGAATGAATCTGAAAATAGAATTCAGGGTTGCAATTCACTTTATTTCTCCAGTGCATTGTATTTAGTATCTTTAGTATTCCTTAGGTTTCTTTTCACTGAATGGCCAAACACAACTGGTTTTGTTTTGTACTGCTTTCATATGGACTAAAAATTACATCCACACTCTTTCCCTATATGCTAAAATTTCAAACCAACTTTGAAAAAAAACCCAAGCAACAAACCAAAACATAAAAAGAAACAACACACCTTAAATGATACTGCTTATTCCATCTTTCTCACTCTATTGAGCCGTCTTTTTGCTTTGTGTACATTGTCACAGTTTCTTTGGCCTGAGTTATGGCAGCTTACGTGCATTAAGGAGCTGAAGGGATGGTTTTAGGTTAAGCACATGTACTATGATGAATTGCAGTGCACTTTATAAACACAGGATGTCCACAGATCACAGCTACCGAGTACAGCTGATAAGCCATCCAAGGGAGAACTGAACTGAAATGCATTTTAGCAGGGAGCAGAGAAATGGTCTTTACTGCAGGACCACCCAGCTCACTCCTGTGGGGTCCAGAAGCCTGTGAATGCTTGGAAATGAGGAGCTGAACCTCTCAAACAAAACATTTCCTTTCTAAAGGACTGGTGGAACAAGCGGAGCAGTTAAAGCTGAAGCATGCGTGGCTTGTCTGCTTTAGTGAGCCCCCAAAGACAGAGCAGTAAGCAGTGCAATGGATGAACAGATGTACTGCTGGCTTGCAATTTCCAGGTTTGCAAAAATCATTCAGATAGAAATGACATTTGCTACTTATCCAAGTTCACAGATGCACATTTTGAAGAAGCTTTTGTTAATAGAAATAGTCTGGCATGAAACACTGGCTTACATGCTGCAATAATACAGTTATAATTACTTGTTTAATACTTTGTAAATGCAATGTTTTATGAACACAACAAAATATTTCAATTAATTAATTCCTAGAGAGATGTTGCTTTGGGGTGTGAGGGAATATGAGGAGGCTCAGGCCTGAGATTTAGCAAACTGAACACAACTGAATTGATGAAGATGACATGAGAAACCGATGGATGTAACAAATAACAGAGCAAAAAATGAACAGAAGTTACAGACAGTGCTGTAAAGGATGGCAGGATTTCATGGGTGGTTAATAGGGAGTAATTGGAAAGACGGCCAAACTTCACAGGTAATTGAAGGACCTTTGAGGAAGCAGAACTTGCAAGGTCAGTGGCACTGATGTAACTATATCAGTAACAGCAGATAAGCTTGTGATTGCCTAGCTAATGGCATCACAAATGCCAAATTGAGTACAGATGTAGCAAAACTGTGACCAATAGGAAAAAAATAATGAGAGTGGCTTGTTTATTTCGGAGAAGACAGGACCGGGACAGACAGGGGATAAGGTATGTGGGGAAAAACAAGCATGGAAAGAAGGGGGGGATAAAATGGGTAGTGACATGTAAGCAAGTTGTCACTGAGCTCTCATCTTCTCATTAAATCCTTCTCATGTGTGACACCACTGTCTCCATGGTGCATGTGTGATGAGCAAACCTCAGGCAGCAGGTGGGTGACTGTCCCTGGGAAGACCCAAAGTGTCAGCCCAGGCCCAGCTGCAGAGGAGGAACAGGACCAGGCTGTGTGTGTTGGACCTGCAGTCACACATCCCTGTGGCCAGACAGGTGCTGTGTGACTGCCCTGACGTGGATTTGTTCAACCTGCAGTGCAACCAACAGCAGCCAGATCCATCAGACAGGTGGGAGAAAGCACCCACATCCTGATGGCCACTGGATTTGGTTAACCCTTAATAGATCCAATCCTCAGGTCTGGTGAAGGCTTTTTTGCTTGCTTTATGCTCGAGACCTTGACTGATTAAGGTATCCATGCCATACCGTGCCTCTGAATACAATATCACATTTGTAGTAGCCATTCAGCCCTAGCAAAGATAGGATTTCTATCTGAATGAGATTTTTTTCCATATAAATTTTGGGTTTCTCAGTAATATAAGAGAAAGAACAATGCAGGAATTTAACAGTATGCTGATCTGAAGATAATCCATAATCCTCTGTTTCTGAAATGGGAATACTTTCAAAGGAAAACAAAATGCAAACAGTTCAAGGTTTTATTTAGTTCTCTCATCAATCTTCTATGAGCTTTGGGAGTTTTCAAACTGGATGGCTGTCTTGTAGATGTCCTTCAAGGCTCCAGCACTTTCAACTTCATGACAATCCAGGTATGTCATATAAATCTAAATTTTACATTTCTGCCCTTTCAGTTGCATCCAGAACTTGGCAAGGAAGATGGAAGCAAAATGAAAGAAAAAAAAAAAAAAGGAAATGGATTAAGAGTTGTGCATGCATAAATGGACATAATCTCAGGAGGGATCGTGTACATTTTTTTCAATCTTATCTATAAACACTACACACTATTTCTTCAACAAACCAGCATACATCAGACAGATGGGAAAGAATCAATACAAAATGAACATTAAAAAAAAAAAAGAAGGAAGAATAGGATCAGCAGACCTTAGGCTACAGGCAGAGGATTGTCAATAAGACAAACTGAAAGACTGAATCCCTTTGTGTCTCCTCTGTAAGGCATTTACTAAGATGCCCCATATCCCTCTTTTCCCCTCTCTTTCATCCAGGGTTACTTGCTTCCTCTTCTATTGCTAAAAGAAACTTGCAGCCCACAAAATAGCTCTGAACTGTGTCTTCTAACATGGCTCAATACACAGTTTAGGAATATAAATTAATGGGGGGAAAAGTGACTGAGAAGCCATCATATTGGTTATAATAAACTCAAAATATTGTAAGTGAATTTTACATCTAACAGGAATTAAAAGAAGAATCGTTCCATCAAATAAAGATTTTAAAAAATAACTTTGCAGATGTTTGTGTTGGGGAGAATAGATTTTTAGGGTATGTGGGTGTAGAGATAGTGTTAGGAGAAGGGGAAGGAAAAAGAATGTCATGCTTGAAAAATTCAGTGAATTGTATAACAATGATAAGAGAAAAGAGCACAAGGAAGGAACAGAGATGAAGGGTTTGCTTTGCTGATGTTTACTCGGAAAAAAACACAAAAGCAAAAATCAAGGAGACAAGGAGAAATGTTAGTGCCAAGACAGACCAAGGAACAGAGAAAAGTAATTAAAGACTGTCAATGAAGCAATGTAAAATAAAAAATCTTAGTAAATAAAATCTGTTAGGAGGCAAAAGAAGGTGTAAGAATGTCAGAACAAACTCCTAAGAGAGTTTTTACAGGATGAGATGAAACTCATGTTATCTTGCTCTTTTGCATTTTCTAGGACCAATTCATTTTTACAGGGTACTTTGTAGAAAAGCTAGATTTAGTAGAATTTCATGTAGCTCTAGCAAAGAACCTTATTTATTTATTACTACCCAAATAATTTACAAGTATGAAATGTAGAACTCATTATAGATTTTACAAGAAATATGGGTCTTATATTACTGATAAAGCATCATATGCAGAACAATTTTTTTTATGGCAGCATATAAAACACCATGCTTCATGCCCAAACCAGTACAATAACCTTAACATATAGCTGCAGCTCATCAATCTGTGACACGCCAGCAGAAGTTCATATAAACCAACATTCTTACCTGCTGTTTTTCTAGGGATACAAAACAGTGAGCAGTATGTAGATGACTGAAGACAGACAGTTGTTTTGCTATATCTAATTTATCATATATACTGAACTTTGATCCAAGAAAATATCACATAACTATACTGAAGAAAACCCTATTTATAAAATTTCGAATTTTTGAATCCCATGGAAACAGTTTTTGGTAAGCACTTAATTTACAGAAACAAATATTTATAAGACCTTCCATTATGCATCCTATCCCATTCACCCACTCTAAGTTGCACCATATGAAACCTGAAAGATAAATGGTTAATTACTAGATCTACAGATCACTTGCCTAATTGTATGGAATATAGCAGAGATAATGAGCTCATTGTGAACTGCAACTGCCATATAACGTGGCTCATGAAATGCTGATGGGACTGTCCGCACTGCATAGCAGAGATAAACACCCCACAAGAGGAATAAAAATTCAGCTGTGAGAAGAACAAAAAGAAATAATTTGAAATTAGTTTTATAGATGGAAGGAAATTTGAAGCACTACAGTATCTTCTGTATGTGTGAGTATCTATGCAAAGACAATACACATGTATATAAGTACACACATAGGCATTCAAACTCTTTTGGATATTATCACTGTATATGATATATTTGGTTTTAATTTTACACATCTTTTTCCAGATCAGGAACCTTTGCATTCATGGTATCTCAGTTTTTCAATTGACAAACTTAGAGACAATGCCTAAAAATGTCTTGTTTGTTTTTATAATAAGTACTACAGAAGTCTGACATCACTTCAAATATTTTTAATTGTAGCTATGGTTCTTTTTAGAGAGGCAGATACAGTGCTACTACCAGATTATATGCTTTTAAAGACAACACTTTCATTTCAAAGGTTTATAACTTAGATAAAACAACATATTTTGTGTTTAAAAAATTCCTCTGTTCATGATAGTTAATTTTGCTGGTACCCATAATATGATGAGTCACTTCTGAGAGTCTAATGCACTTAAAACAAATTATGTGTTTCTGTTAGGCAAAAAACGAGTAAAGGAAGAAAGGTGTCTGAATCAGCCTATAATATTCAGTTAGAGCTAGCTCATCTGCACACAGCAGTATCTGACTTCAGCTTCCAGTGGACAGCCTGATGAGATATCATTTTGATCTTGATATGAATGAAGTGATTTCCTAACCATCTTGAAAAACTCCCAGGAAAAAGCCCCTACAGCTCTGTCATGTAGTTATGAATAGAGCTGGTGCCAGTCCATCTTGCCTTGCAGTCTGGGTTGACAATGCCTGGAAGTGTTTGAGTGTCACCCAGCAATGTGCAGTTCCATTTAGATCCCTGCAATGCCAGCACTGCTCCAGACCAGCTTCACAAACTGTGATCCCATTGTTACTCATACACTTTTGTCTTGTTGAATTCTTGCAATAAAAACTATAATTAAATGCAGTATAATAGAAAATTAATTATTTTTCAGACTTATTTTTGCCAATGTTTTCTCTGTACTGTAACTAAAGCTGGTGATCAGTGACATCACCCTTTGGAAGTGATCAGCAAATAATTACTGGTCTGGTTTCAGTGATGACACAAATGCTTGTAAGCCCCGCCAGACTGAAATATAATGTCAGCACTGAGTTCACTGAAATGGGAGCACCTGTTCTAATTAGAACAGGTCCTCCAGTTCCTCCACTTTTAGTAGTCCATGAATGCTGTAACTTACCTATAATATATTGTTATACCATTTTGAGACTCTAATTTTGCTATTAATTCCAGCTAAAATCAGTAAGAGACAGGTCTGGATAAAATGAATTCAGTTACATCGATCTCTCTATACTATGACAAGAGTTCAGTTTTAACTCTTTGCACATTTCTTAATGAAAAATGTATGTCCTATCTCCAGGATCATAACTTTTATTAGAATACATCCTTTACAGACCCAACAGCCTTAACAGTTACATAAACCCAAACATCTGAAGGAACATAATCCATCCAAACTGCTGGTTTTGTGTTCTTCGTCACCAGATCCTAACAATAATAAACATTTTGCCTTTTGACTAAGTTAATAGTCAAAAGTAAAGTCAATAGTAGGATTTGAGGCCTTACTGAGTGTCAAAATGAAAAAAATCTTGGTATGAGTCTTCTGAGACTGTGTATCCCAGCCTGGTCTTGAGCTCAACAAAAGCACACATGCAAGTATGTTTTTCTCAAATTCCTCACACACTTGGGAAAACTGGACGCTACTTCCATTTAATTTCTAGAAAATTAGCTATGTTATAAATGAAATCTATCATTTTAGTTTCTTAAAAACTCCTGCACAGAATGGCTTACCAAGCCATCTTGATCCAGAAGTCTTTCCTGAGCTACTGGAATACAAATTTGGCTTCAATGAAATAAGAATAAAGGTGTTTTACCTATCTCTGTGGTTTGGGTTTTTTTCTTTAGGTAGTTGCCTCACATATGCAGAATCATGGCACTGAAATGTATTGCTCTTTAAATGACTCTAATTTACTGCTTTAATTGCCCCATAATGATTTAGTAGAAATTGAAAAGCAGAAAATTGTTAGAATTAGGCTGCTAAAGCCAGATCACTGTATCTTACTGTCCTGTCTTCTGTGGAAATCCTTCATACTAATACTGTTCAGCAGGGCACCTCTAACATGCCAGACAATGCCTATTTCCTCACATTTTGCCTTTCATCCAAACTTCTCCTGCTCCCCAACATGAGCAGCAGAACTGAATAGATGAGCTAATTGTGAAATAACAGGCACACTCCACAAAACCACCTATGGTCTGTTCCTCCTCTTTCTCAGCTGTAGTGAGAAGAGCCCCAAGCTTCTTTCTGACTGAAAAGATCAGTTACAAGTGCTAACAGAGGCTGACAGTTTGAAAAGGTTTGGCTTTCAATGAAATTAAAATACTCATGTAAAATTTAATATGCTGAAAGTATTCTTATTAGAAGAGTGAGGGCCAAATTTTGCTTACTTTTAGAAGAAAAAAATAAAATTGCTGTAATTTTGAATTAGTAGGGTTTGGTTGTTTTGGTTTTTTTTATATAGAGCAAATAAAAATGGAAAAACCATACTTCCATTAAAAAAAAACCAAAACAAACCCTTACAACCCAAACATTTCAATTAGCTGGGCTAAGTAAGAAAGCAGGTTGCATCTGATCTCCAAATCTGATTAATTCTGAAAAATTCAGTTTTCAGTTTCACAGTCATACTTACAAGGAGTTCTTAAGACAAGAAGCAATTTCAAAGTATTAATGTACTGAAGCATAACAGTAGTTTGTACCATTCAGTGCATAATGCCTTTAGAAAAGCTTTACATTTAGAGCAGAGTTGGCATTCCTGTCTGCAGATAATAATTACTGTGACATCTGGTATGGAACACAAATACGGAAGAGCTCTTAAAACATAAGGTAAAATAACAGAGTTCCTTAACTTGCTAAGTCCAACGTTACAATAATTTCATCAGCAATGACAAAACAAAGCAGACTGATAGAAAACTAATTTATTATCTAAACCACTAATTAAACAGCCTAAATGTATCGTGTAAAAGCTGTGTTTGGGGGGAAAGCCAGGTTCCTATAATTACCTACAGATTGTTAGTGCAATTTGCAACAAAAATCTGAAGGTGTTATGAATCTGAAGGTGCCATGTTTCCTACATGGCCTTTGTACTTTCTCAATATAAAGTAAGGTAACATATTAATGTATTTATTACTCCAATGAATAAAAAATACATAAATAACAATGGATGGATGGATGGATGGATGGATGGATGGATGGATGGATGGATGGATGGATGGATGGATAGATGGATAGATAGATAGATAGATAGATAGATAGATAGATAGATAGATAGATAGATAATTGAGTACATCTGTCCACCATGCAGCAAGGTTCCAATGTACAATTCATCTGTTGTTTATGGGACACTAGTGACTGTTTTGCACCAAATATCTTTAATGGTAAAATTCTGTGAAATGTGATATGAAATTTTTATTTGGCTTCCTGAATAATTTTCCAGTAAAAGTCTGGTGTAGAAAAGTGACTTTCTGACCACTAAAGGAATATCTTAGCATACTGCATACCTGTCAAAGAGCAAACTCAAAGCTCAAAACACAGGATCCTATGATTTAGCACAAGGCTTATAAATTTTCACATATTGAGCACAAAACCAAAAAAACCTTCCTTTTCCCCTTTTGAAAAAATGATGGAATTTCCTAGGAGAGAGAGCAAACAGCTGTTCTCTGGACAGAAAATGCAGAGTCAAAACAATAAAACATAATACAGTTCTGAAAAAAAACTTGCAGTAGTTACTCTGTAATAGTCCAAAACAGGCATTCAGATTTGGGAGAAAATCTCTGATAGATAGATAAGAGGTTAAGAAAAAGCACAGTTGTTTCAAAGGCATATATGGATGCAGATATGAATGGAAAGTAGGAGATGAAAATGTAAAGTGACCTCAATATGTCATGTGCACAAATGAATTAGTCTTTAAATATCTCTCTTCTTAGTCACTACCTACTTCTTATCCACAGAACCTTTTATCTGGTCTTTGCATTATCTGATCAACCTGCTTAGTACATTCTCTGGTGTTTAAAAATCAGGATTCGTCCTTGTCTTCATGATGCTATTTATGTCTTTAGAAAATGAAGCAATTTGGAGCACTTAGCTTGATCATCCAATACAGTGGACCAGACTCACCTGATGCCACTGGCCTGTTACAACAAAGTGTGTGCCATGTCTGCTCACTTGAAATAATTTTAGGCCACTGCTCATACTCTGCATCTTCTGATAACGAAGGACAATGACATATGTCCACAGTCTGTGGTATGTATCTGCTTTACAGAAAAGGATGGACTCAGCGTTGTTATTTCTGACCTGATCAAACTTTCTCAAAAGATCTGGGTTAATATATTTTCTAGGTTTTGCTAAACACGCAGTGGTTTGTGTTGCTGGAGCAGAAGGAAATCCCCACGTGAATCCATCGCTGCTTTCACTCCTGCTATGCAGATGTCTGCACTTCACCTAATCAAGGCTGCCTAATGACGAAAGCTCTGCAATTTGCTGCAAATGACATTTGGATGTCTACTGAATGACAGGAAAGACTGCAAGGGGGGAAAGTGGTCTAGCACACATGCACAACTGACTTCTAACTCTGCTTGTGCCTCAGGCTCCTATGAATATTTAAAAAAAAAAAACCCATTTGAGTCCCCATTCAATCCAAACTTTGCAGAGGTGATCATTTTTTACAGAAGTGGGAGCATTTTTCTTGCAATTTGGGTGCCAAATATGCATTTTTGCTGCAATTTGCAGCAAAAATAAGCATGCAAGGGCTATATTTGTAACCAGTGAGACCATACAAGTGTTGCAAGTATATTTGACTAAGCTGTGTAACTGAACCAAAGGCATTGCAACATGAACAACCATATTAAATGGACCATATAACCCTAATCTCACTGTGCCTC